TATACCAACCACTTGTATCGGCACGCGGTCACTTACTAGAATTCAATTTTGCACGCGGCGATCACTAGTTATGACCTTTCAAATTCCTGAGGTTGTCATCGAGAGAGCTTCGACTGTATTGCTTTTCGCGTGACGAGCTGGAAGCGTTATAGCCAGCCGAAAACAAGGCTGACAGTGTACCTTCTCCCAATTTGAATAGTTATCTTTCAGTTCTCGTTGACTAAGTCGCGGACTTTTACAAAGCCTATTGCATATCCTATTTGGTGTTAAAAAAAAAAAAATCCAACGAAGAAGTTACTACGTTACGATGCATTGTTTTTAATTTCTCACCTGGGCAAGAATTTTCACCTCCCCCTCCTTTGGAAAATTTGTACAAAATGCGTAAAACTTGTTGCCTTCGTAAAAGCGAAGAGAAAGGACATTCATAATGGCGGACACCATCATCGCATCATCAGGGGCTCCCTCTACGCCTCTAGGGTACCCTTGGTAAGATAGGGAACACATCTGTAAATGCAGCGACGTGAGATCATGTTACCAGTGCTCGACATAGTACTAGAAAGTACGGTTAGAAGCTTAGCTATCTCCGTAGAGTGTTTTAACTTCCATCGCCCGACTGACCCAGTAGTTTTGAAAAATTAAGGTTGGGAAATCTGGAGAACATAGAGAGAGCTTAAGAGTTGTTGGAGGGGCAACACTCTAGCTTCTTGAGTGCCCTGCAACTTTCCAATTTCATCATAACTCGACGATGTACGGCTTAAAGGGAGGGTTTCACGGCTCGGCGTATTTCTCTAAACAAAATCCTTTTGTTCGCTTCTTATCAATGTTATCGCTTTAAAAGCCCCACTCAGATGTAGTTCAGTAGTTAGTCGTGGCAGAATGACGGATGACCAAAATTCTCAAAAGATTTCAGTGGATTTTATCGACGTTGTCGATTGTTGAGTTTAGTGTTGACCCGTGCGATTTATTCTACAGTTGATGATTTTACGGCTATTGCATATTTGCATGCGAAATTAGGTGACCGGCTTACGATTGGTTCATAAACAATGAAAAATTGGGCCTGTGCCAAAAAGCTTGCACGTGCGAATAAATAATACAGACATACGCCGAACTGTGTAACCCTCTCTTTAAAACATGAATCAAGTATTAATCCACTCTTCACGGAGAACGAACGTTTGGGAACGTCGTTGGTGATGAGAACCTTGTTCCAATCATGTATTGGCTCTAAAACGTACCCCCAAAACTATGCTACTTAACTAATTAATATCTGAAAAAGGTTGAAGTTCTCAAAATTGAACACACCTTGAGAGTTTTGGAATCTACCAGCAACGCTCCCTCTTTGGCATCTCTGGAAGATCTTATGCCGGCAACGACTGCCAGAAAAAGGAAATAATCTTTCCATTGCTTGAACAATATCTAGTGAAAAAGGATTCCATTCGAGTTAGAAATTCTCATTAAGAATAAAGTGGCCAGTCCATGCAAGAAGATTGACGTAGTATCGGTTACGAAGGGGATTGAATTACATCACTTAGGGCCTCCACAGACTAGACATTTAGTTGTCGACAATTATTTGTTATCGACAACTAATTATGTCCGATGCGAGCATTCCACACATTGGAGTGTTAGTAGTTCAGGCCAGGGAGAGCTTAGGAAATAACGTTCACTACGCATGCTCAAAACACAAAACGCATACTCAAATGTGTGTCATTTTCCGATGGTTGTCGACAACTAAACCAATGATTCCCACACACGGAAAAACCGGTCAAAACGTAGTTGTCGACAACTTATAGTTGACAAAAAGCAGTTTGCTTTTGCGAAAAGGGAAACTGCTTGGTTGTCAACGAATAAGAATTTAGCGTTTAGTTGTCGACAACTCATCTCACACACTACGATTTTTAGTTGTCGATAACATTTAGTTGTAGATGACAAATAGTTGTCGACAACTAAGTGTCCAGTCTGTGGAGGCCCTTAGGCTAGACTACTCGGCCAATCTCATACAGTGGCAAAACCAAAACGAAAACCAAAGTAATTGCCTGATTACTTTCGACACTCAATTAAAAACTGCCGTAGAAGTACTAGTTAGCTCTCTATTTCGGTTCATCGTATTGTAAAAAGCACCAAAATATTACAAAACGTTTTTGTTGCTTGCTTCTTTTTATAGGACCGGCTATTCTAGGTCTCGAAGGTGTTCTTCGGATTTGTTGTCAATTTGAAATTAAAATAACCTAATCTTCACCACTTATCTTTTAACTGGAGTAGGGTAGGGTAGGGTAGAGTAGAGTTACGTAATGAAAAGTAAATTAAATTTACTGATTAAACTAAACTAAATTAACTTGCCTAAATCCAACACAATGATACTACTGTTGAACCCCGATATTTCGAACTCTCAGGGGAAACGAGAGATTGTTTGAAACAGCGGGAGTTCCAAAATTAAGGCCCATAGTCTGCATAGTAAATGACTGAAGGGCAAATCCAAGGGAAGTGTTTTTCACTTCGAAATAAAAGGGAATTCGAAATAACCGACTAGGAATTAGTGGGGAGCAACTGTAGTTGAAAACAGCGGCAGCTCCAAATAGCCGATAGTAAATGACTGAAGGGTAAATCCAAAGGGAATGGTTTTCAGTTCGAAATAACCGAGTTCGAATCACCGGGGTCCAACTGTAATTAAACTGCTGATAGCGATTGCACCTATCTTACACCAGATGACACTGACCCAGCACAACTCGCCCTAACTAAACTAGCTTAAGCTATAAATTGATCCTAGATTACTTGCAGGCTTCGGGGATGGGTATTTATAATAAAGGTGGAAAGCCGCTGCTAATACACACCTTTACTTCACTACCACCCAATTCAGACTTGGTTTAACAAGAGTTAAACAAATACATTTATCAATTACCTCGTCAGATCTTTTTCCAGGTTCAATGCCTCTTGCCCATGGATCTTCAATGTCCATTTCCCTGAGGTCTTTTGTTTCCTCCTTTAACTGGTCATATAACTGTCTACTGGAATCATCTTTCTTGGTATTCGTTACGTTTTGTAACGTTGCTTTATACATGTTTATAAATCTGTTTTGAAACATAGTCAATGTACCGTCATCCCCTCTGTTAACTGGCCTGAAAACGAGAAAATAAAAGTCAGATCTTGTTTCCAACTCAGTATACATGTAGAAACATTGTTTTTTTTCCTAGAAACTTTCGCTGAGAGAACGGAAGTTTCTACATATTATCATTATCATTATCATTGTCATTGTCGTTACCGTTACCGTTACCGTTATCGTTATCGTTATCGTTATCGTTATTGTTATTGTTATTGTTAGTAGTAGTAGTAGTAGTAGTAGTAGTAGTAGTAGTAGTAGCAGTAGCAGCAGTAGCAGGTAGTAGCGGTAGTAGCGGTGGTAGCGGTGGTAGCGGTGGTAGCGGTGGTAGCGGTGGTAGCGGTGGTAGCGGTGGTAGCGGTGGTAGCGGTAGTAATAGTAGTAGTAGTAGTAGTAGTAATAATAGTAATTGGACCGAGTGGAGTACAATTTAGGGAGAAATCGCGCGAGTAATTTCAAAATCGGACGAGCGTGAAGCGCTAGGTTGATTTGAAATCAAGAGCACTGACGTTTCCCTGAATTGTACGGCACGAGGTCCAATTACTAATTAATCGTATCTAAAACAAATTTCGAAATTAAAAATGTCTTTTGAGCAATTCTTTTTAGCGACCACCCTGGTCGCGTTTTGAAAACTGTAGGAAACATTGCGAAGGAAGCCATTAAAGCGCGCGTAATTGACGTGTGAATCACTTGGGTATCCAATTACAGGTATCCAGTTACAAAAAGTTCAAATTGGAGATCTGTAATCGGACACTCATGTGATCACGCGCCGATTACGTGACAAATAGGCGCGCGGAGAACCAATCACGATTGAGAATTTTTTATAGATACGATTATTATTATTATTATTATTATTATTATTATTATTATTATTATTGTTGTTGTTGTTATTATTATTATTATTATTATCATTATTATTAGTGTTTTGTTTACTTGTGCCTCGCTATTGTGCAAAACTGGAATTCGAGTCAGACAACCAGTTATTTCCGGCCACGACATTCTATAACATACAGCTAGCCTAATGATACGCTTAAAACCGTTTAGCACCAATAACGCATCAGATCCACATGACGTCAAATTCGTTTCGTCTTAAGAGGTAGAATTTACCATGACTACTAATTAAAAAAAAAAGACTGTTCGAGTACTGTTCTGGTTTTGAATATATGAGTCTAAATGCTAAAGAACATTTTTACATTTTTTTTTTTTTTACAAAAAAAATTCTGCAGACAGGGTTCAGGGCCAGATCTCAATTTATTCATTGATTAAAGCTGCTCAAATAACGTAGATTCTTTTCACCTGACGTCACGGCAGCCATGCATATCGGTGTCCCAAAACAAAGAAATGGCGGCCATGCATGCTGATGTCTCGAACCAATTCTGGGGGAGTTGAACTCTTATCTTATGTAAACACTTTCTTTTGTTTCAATACGTTTGCATGGCTGCTGGCCACGAGAGTGAGAACACTCTATTGGCGATACAATTTTATTGGCGGAGCTGTGATTAAATGCCCAAGACTGGAATGTCTAAGCTCCCGTCCGTACTTCGCCGAAGGAATTTGACAACGAAGTTTTTACTCTGAAAACGCTTTAAATGTTTTCAGTCGACACTACGCCGGAGGAATTTAAAAACGCAAGAATCACCGGTCATTTAGTATTTGTGTTTGAGGAAAACTCGGTCAGACGAATCACATGATTATCATGACGCCATCGCTTTCGATGAGCTCCGTTTTCGTTCCGGATTAGTCTGGACTGTAGGTCTAGCCGTAGAAATAGAGCTGCGTTTTCAAATTTTTCCGGCGTCGTGTGAACGTGAGGGCTTCGTATGTCGCTACATATGTAGTTCAACTTACAAAAGTTCCACCTTAGCTGACTTGAATATCTCTTCTGATTTCCTGTATTTATCTCGAAAAGAGAGATAATAGACTCTCCTTACGCCAGCCTAACAAGAGATAACGTATTTAGAATAAATGATTTATTCCTGAACACGCATATATACCCTATCTAAAAACTCTTACTCCTGATGCAGACCTCTCTGCTTTTTTCACGTAAATGGACCTAGTTAGCATAAGAGCAACTTGACTTCCACAACAAAAGCGGAGAGGTCTGGATTTCAAAATGTGGCCGTTGGCCTTGTTAACGGGGCGGTCGCATTGACGTGGTTTTCTTCTTATTTCCTATTACATATAAGACACTCCGGGGTTAAGCTGCTGGCTATCTTGAAATTATGAGTTTTAATCTTACTGACTTCACATTATAGAATCTGTGTACATTTCTTTGCCGTCCTTTGTACAACAACAACGTAAAATGACCACTTCTGCGTATTTTGGAGAACGCGAACGAATGTGGCGATATTTGTGTGTGTGTGTGTGTGTGTGTGTGTGTGTGTGTGTGTGTGTGTGTGTGTTTTCATTCGGAATTGCTAGCCTTTCGTAATTAGTTTCAGCAAGTTCAGAGACCAATAGGCGCACTGTACAGAACTAGACAATTGCGATATTTGAAGGTAAAATATAAATTCATTTTTTA